TGACCTGTCACCATCTTCCAAGGGCCCCTGTGCGCCGCAGGACGGGGGGGCAGCCCCCCCGAGGGGGAGCTGGGAGCACCAGAGCCCTAGAAACGCAGGTCAGCATTCCCAGAGCAGGGAAAAGCTGAGGCTTGTCTCTACAGTTGCATTCGGCTCAGCAGGATGTAACCTGCAAACTTCTGTAATGACACTGCAATTTAGGCTGATTTTGAGCCTATTATCTGCTCACTGTGATGTTTTAACTGTCTGCTGCAGAGGTTTCAGTTGTTTTCTGTGGTTTCACCCTTGACTTCAGTGTCCTTCTGACTATGACTTGTAGTATTTCTCTTCTTCATCCATGGCAGCAAAGGTGCATCCTCTCATGCATACAGAAAGCTTTGTGTACACACGATTCAATTTTTTCTTGTCCCCAGAGCAACTGCTATCGTGACACTTTTATCTATATTTAGCCTAGATTGTGCTTGTTTTCCAGCATCTCTTTCCCCATGCAGCAGAGCTGCAGCTCCCCATACTCTCTCCTCTCCCTTCACCAGGCTGTGATCATAACTGTGATCACAAAACACATGCTATCTGCCAACATCAATTCTTTATAATGTTCTTGATTGGGACCAGTCTCCGGAGAGTATTTAAGCACCTGAAGACCTTTAGCAATCAGACTTCAGTTCTTCATTTTTAGACTCTTCTTGCCCCCTAACTCTGCCCTTTGGCTCATCCTCCTTTCCAGCTGTGAAGTACCTCTCCAGCTGTGACTCCTGTGTCATGAACTTGTCACACACCTCATGCCTTTGCCTCTGTCACCCTGGTTGGTGACATTCCGTACTAGCATAGCAATTTCAGCTAGGAAATTAAAGTGAGTCATAAATAAAGTGGAATAGTGGGCAACTGTCTTTCTGTGCAATAAATAAAGCAATTGTTCAGCATCAGCAATTGGGATCAGGTCCCACAGTAAAAAATCCTCAGCTGCTGACCACCTTCAGCAGTCATTCCAAGCACAAAGTGACTTCCTCCTGTAACGAGCAGTTGATTTGGCTCAATGACAGCACAGCTCACCTGGGAATAAAAGAATATAACAGATGGCAGTTTCCAGGAATTGTGACTAATTCATCAGCAGGTTTTGGCCATTCATTTGCCTAATAAAGCTGAAGAAAAGCACAGTTTTATCTCTACTAAAACTGAGAGGGTTTTTTTGCCAGAGCCCTATAATGCCTTTGCTCAGTATTATTTCTTGAGGGCAGTGCTAAAATGGACGAGTTCCTGCCAGTGCAGGCACTGCATGCATAGCTCATTTGCTCTCATCTAAGAAAGTTACAGCACAGTCTGTCCAAGAGCCTCCATACTCCACAGCTCTTAATGTCTTTGGTCTCATTCTTTAGAATATTATCTTAGTGGAATCTGCAGAAGCTGTGGGGTTTTTTTGTTCAAAAGGTGATCTGTAAAGGTGAAGGAATCATGTAGTAATATAGGTGCTGAATACACTAAGAATATTCTTTGCTTTAATGCAGCAGCACAGGCTTGATCTGAAAGCTTCAGACACTGCTGCTGTTCTGCCTGCTCGCACCGTCTGCAGCCTTCCTCCTTGGCCCCCGTGGCTTGGTTTGGTCATTTCCCAAGTGGGCTAGTTTATAAAACCTGTGATTTATTTGAAGTGAACAGTTTACAAGAGGCCTCCAAAGAAAGGCATGTTTGTGCTTGGAATAGCAAATTCTTAACAAGTCTTAGTGATTCACATTTATGAAAACAGCTCCTCACAAAGTGGAATGAGAGCTAGAGATGAAAGAAAACAATGCAAGGACAGAGAGGACACATCCAGACAGGACAGTTGTGTGTCATTCTTTCCTCTCAAGTACTCCCTTAGGGATTTCTACCTGTTCTTTAGTGGCAGACACAGTTCAAGCAACAAGGAGGGACATGTGCCCTGACAGGTCAGTCAGATACTGTGTGGGAGGTGAGCTCTGACAGTGGTTTTAGGTGAAATCACAAATTCTACTTTTATTCCCCAAATTTTCCCCAGCTAGATCAGGTATCTGCAGCAGGGAAACTGTTCTTGAATAACACATGTATAGGCACAAACCTAAAGATTTCCCTAAATGCTTCATACCATCCAGAAGAGAGAACAGTTCATTGCCAAAGCATCAACTTTCAGACACATAAAAGTGATCTTATTCTACTTTACCTCATGTACTAAAGAGTGAATTTCTAGCTGTTGATGCTAACAGCTGAGGGAAGTGTTGTCTTAGCATCTCAGTCAGTAGAAGCCACTTCTATTTGATCTCTGTGGTTAGAGGAAACGAGCAATTCAGCCACCCTTTGTTATTGCAGAGGAGAGCGATGAGTCTGCAAAACACAACGTACAAAACACCTGATGTTTTGATAATGATCCCATCTTTGTCAGGGTGAGCAAGTTCAGTGCCTGGGAGGATGATGAGGTCAGGAAGAACAAACCACCTGCATCTAATCAGAAGAATTGGGCTAAACTAACCCACAGGTTTCAGTGAAGTGAAGCCGGCCTTGTATTGATCATCTGCACTGCTCTGCATGATTGCTGTGCTCACTGATACGAGTTTAGGGAATAAGGAATAATAAATTTAAGTGCTTGAAAAAACCAAGTGAAAGTAGAAGAGCAAGCAAGAGCTAGGTGGAAGCATTTCCCTTCTCATCCCTGCAGACCACATCCACCTCATATTTCCTTTTCAGTTTGCAGGCAGCAGCTGTGCATACTGTAGCAGTGACAGTAGAAACCGCTCCTACACCCGATGGGGGGGCGGGGGGGGGGGGGGGGTTGATGATGTTTGAATTTCTTGCACAAAGCTTTTTTGCTTGGAGCAAAGGCATCTGTTCCATTCTAGAGACATCCTCTAAAGAGGAGAATGGAGAGTGCTTAGTCCCTGGGAACACCAAAGGGCGAGTAGATAGAAAGCCAAAAATATCAAGGATTCTTACCCCTCCAAAACACAAACAAACAAAAAAAAAAAAACAACAAAACACCAAAAAACCAACAAACCATGGTGGAATTTTTTCTGTGTGAGAAGGTCAACTCTCTTTCCCCCCCAGATTTAGGAAGCCTCAAACCAATCATCATTCAATAGCTTCTTGGAGAACTCCATTTTTTTGCTCCCCAAAGGGTAGCTAAGGAGATCTTTGATGTAACCAGACACATTTGTGAGCTGCCTCCTGCAAGATGACTTTCACCAAAATATTTTTTCCTGGAAACTTTTTTCCACAGAGTATTTTATTTAAAGTTTGATTCAAAGCTGTTTATCCTGTGAAATTAAAGCAAATCAAGTAAGACATTAACCTCCGTCTTCCAGGACACGTGCACATCACCGATTTCAATATTGCCACAATGCTGACTAAAGAAATACAAGTCACCACCATCGCCGGCACAAAGCCATACATGGGTAAGAACCAGTGACAACTGTGTGTTCTCCATTTGCCATTTTATGGGCTTCATCTGGCAGCTGTGGCAGGAGACAGATCAAGTCTTTTTTGATGAGAGTTCAAGCTCTTTCCCCCCAATAAGTAGCAAAATGCATTTGTTTGAAGTGAGGAACAACCTCAAGAGGTGCTGCGGGGCAGCGTGACAGGAATCCCTCCCCAGTAATACCCCGATGCGGCTGGAAAACATGCATCCATCTACTGATTGTACACAACAGATGAAAGCAAGCTGCAAACATAGATTTTAGGGCCGTTGTGCCGTACTGGACAGCATAGTTTCGATTACAACAGAAGATAGTTGCACTCGTGAGATCTCAGAGCAGTTCACAAGCAGCAGTCAAGCCATGTAACAATGGTGGGATGCTCTTGCTGCCCTTGAGAAGGAAAATGAAGCACAACGGCTTACATTTGGTCCCTCAGAACACTAGCACAAGTCTTACACTGCTGCATCACTGGCAATAATCTGAAGTTCTATATAAACTGGCTGCTTTAGAAACGAGCATTACCTCGGTTAGGCCGAGCGGTGGATTTAGGACTTGCTGATTTGCCGGGCTGCAGCATCGCTCGGCACGCAGGGAGGCGCCTTGTTCCAGTTTCAGGCTGTCACAGTGGAGAGCGTTGCTGGCACCAGGGGGAGGCGACTGAGGCTTTAGCTCTAATCTCCACCCCGATGACAACAGGACAGGAGGACAATCCTGGGGCAGAGTGACACTGGAGCAGGTGGATGCCTCCATGGCAGCCTTGGGCGAGCTGCAGGGACAGTTTTCAGGGGCGAATCAGCACACACACAAAGGGAGACACATGGCACTTGCTCCCCAGGGCGATCTTGTTTCCCTGGTACTCCGTCAAATGTGCTTTTTTCTTTTCCACTTTTTAAGAGGAATACAAAAAAACAATTTATGGTCACTTACTGTCCAAATCAGCAAAGCAGCTGACTTTCAGTAAGGGACCCACTTGATACTTATCACACAAGCACAGATAGTAAGCATAAAGCAAAAAGCACTGACATACCTGGGAGGAATCAGAGCCAGAGCAGGCAGATAATGAGCCAGAGAGGACTATCCTGAGCTGATGCTGAAAGAAGCTGTGCAAACACAACACAGAAAGGTCTTTGTAAAGTCAGGTTTCCTAACTAAAGCAAAAGTACTCAAAAGCGTTTCTATATAACTAACATAACTCCTCCCACAGAAGTTGCACATTTTCATATACAGTAATGCTGTCTCTGAGAGCTGAATAGCTCAGAACACAGCCTCCCTACAGCTACTGCATGACCAAATCCCTTAGGACAATCACCTGGGAGTCTCCTTTTTATCCAGATGACCAAGCTGACCTCCCACCTTTGCATCACAGGTGCAATCATTTTAAAAAGGAAACAGGTACCAAGGAAGGTGTTGCTCCTGGTTTGGTGGTTTTTAGAGCAATTCTTGCCTCCAGCTCACATCAAAATCCTACTGCTTTTTTGTCCCCTACTATCAAAAGGGAGATTTATTGGCTAAGAAAGAACATTTCAGTCTGTGCCTCCACCCCCTCCTTGTTAGCCTGGTAACCTCCCCCTAAAAAGCGGTGGCTCTCAGGCTTCCTTCAGTTAAAATTTGCGTTTAAAAAAGCTGCTTAAAAAGCAGCAAAGGTGTGGTGAGGGGAAATGTGCTAATTTGTGCCCCGACAGAACAGCAGGGCTGCTCCCTGGGGCACGCATCAGGTGTTCTGGTGCCTCACCTGAGACCGCAGCAAGGCAAACTTTCCTTTTTCTGTATTCTGCAGCACCTGAGATGTTCAGCTCCACAAAACCCACTGGCTATTCCTTCGCTGTGGACTGGTGGTCACTGGGGATCACAGCCTATGAGCTGCTCCGGACCCGGGTACTGTGCATGTGGCTCCTGTCCCCATCCATCCACCTGTCCATCCATCCATCCCTTTCCTTAAACACTCTGTTGGAAAGGTTAATGCTTTAAAACAGGGATGAAAGGCCCAAGGCAAATTCCAGGCTTTTAGGGTTATCACAGCATAGGAAGCAGAACCGCATCTTCACCAGGGTTCCTGTGATCACAAGTAAGAGCTCAGAGGAACTGTGGCCATACTGAATAGCATGTCACAACAGCTCCCTGCTGCTCTCAAGGGCCTCTGAGTTGATGTAAGCTGGGCAAGGCAAACAAGCGACAACTCTTCAAGTCTGGGCTGCAGTATAATTTACTTTGAGCTCCCATCCTACAGGAGAAAACCACTTGGAAAACAAATCTCATTGCTGTTGCAATAAGATTGAGCAGTTAGAGCAAAAGCAAGCTGCAATGTGTAAATTATTAATAAAGCACAATCGCTGCCTGTGATGTCAGAGCTGTGCTGCTAACTCTGGTAAGGCTGGGAGCCGTGTAGGCAGATGATTAGATTTGTGTTTTGGAAGTGCTGTGTAAGAAAAGAGGGACAGAATTATTCAAATTGCATTCTTCTAAGCAAAAGGTGTTTAAAATTGTGTGAGGACAGGGAACTGCTTTGAGTACGGGTATGCAGAAGAAGTTTTTAAGAAACTGTCATCAGCCTTTGCAGAATGCTCTAAAAAGAACAGATTTTCAAATGGTCAGTGATCAGGTTAGTGCACATTAAGGGGACACAGTTGTCTGACCTGTTGGGTAACAGAGGCTGTGTGCCCCTGGAAACATATTAATATAACACTTGTGTTTTTAATTTGCAATATTAAGTGAATGGCAGAACAGTTCACCACATTGATTTTTGACTTGATGGCCCTGTTTCCAGGGATGGGAGCAGAAGTGCTGGTTTGGGTTTTGCCTCCCATCTGTCCTGCAGTTTGAATACCTGGTTATTGTCACTGTTCTTGCTGACAGTATTATTTTGTTTATTTCAACCGAGTTGTGATCACACAGGGAGAGACTTTCAATGGGAGGATGGGGAATCTCCAAAGAGGCTTCATTTGAAGCTTGTTTGCTCTAAAAAGATTTCCCCAGGGGTCCGAAAACCCAGATAAATAAAAATGCTTTCCTGGTGGCACTTTTCCCAGAGGCCGTATCACATTCGCTCCAACACTTCCACAGATGAAATTGCTCACGTGTTCAAGACGGCCACAGTGATGTACCCTGCTGCGTGGTCCACGGACATGGTGTCGCTCATCAAAAAGGTGAGGGCAGCGGAGCAGAGGGCTCAGGGCTGCCTGTACCTGGGCACTGAGCCCCAAGTCATGCTTTGTAGCCTTTGCAGTCATTGCAAACCGTGTCCAGACCCAGTGCTGGCGACCTTCAGGTGGTAAGCTTTTCACGCTGCAGCTGCACTAATACAGTAACCAGCTGGCAGTGCTGCATCCCAGACTGATGGGGATGGAGTTTGTGTTGACAGGCACCGCTGCTGCTAGTGGGGTTCCTCTAAGGACACACACAAAGCAGACTTTGCTTCCACTGTTTCTCCTGTAACTTTGTCTCTCTGGAATGACATACCATAGAAATAGAAATCAATATATGTGTCAATAAACCTGGCATAAACCCTGCCTTTTTATTTAAAAAAAAAAAAAACCAAACACATTTTTCTCAATAGTGAAAAGATTTGCAAGAAGTGCTGGTACTGTTGAAATCCTTTGGTGCCATGTGCTTTATGCACCACTGCAATTATTTTTTAATAAAGCTGCTATCAAAATCACTTCGGAATCATTACTGGAATCATTTTGAAGCTGAAATCATGTTTGAAGTGAAGCCATATCTTCAATAAACAAAACTATGGCTTGACAGTGTCAGACTGCTTACAGTGGCAGCAAAGCTGGAATACTGAACACTGCATATCAACACTAGCTGCAAATTTTGTAAAGTATGTAAAGAGCTTTCTAATTTGCAAATGCAGGCAATGAAGTAGTACTTACTGCAGCCTTCATCTGGTTTTTGTTCCAAATATTTTGTCGAAATATTATGTCATCTCTAATGAAATACTCTCTTTTTAACAAAAATGATACATTAGTTCTTTGCTGAGACAGAATCATGGTGTATTTTCCAAGAAGAGAATGGAAGAATATCTCAATTTGTTTAAAATTAAATTGAGCTAATATTTTATTAGGCCTAGCAGTAATACGGGGTATTTACTGCAGATGTACTCCGCATTGTTGTGGTGGAAGCTTTTGCCTAGACCACGGCACGCCACAAACCGTACAGGTTCCTGTGTGGATGAATAATGCAACATCACAGTTACTTAGATTTCCAAGCACCCCGTGGCATCCAGTTCAGCAGCCAGATGTGTTAGACATGAGGCAGCTGTGCTTCTGTCCCGCCTGTGGGCTGCTGTATCTGTTATCGTTCAAGCAAGTTCTCACTTGCAGTAGAGCTGCACTGCGGGTGCTGGGACCGGAGCACGGGGCTCCGCAGAGGACATGAACTGCAGGGATGGGAGCACAGCACTGGCTGCCAAACCCAGCACAGGACAGTGGCGGGGGGCTCCTCATTCACGCTTTCCCAGAGGGTTTTGATCATCTGGGTTTCCTGCTACACCTTTGGAGTGCGTATTATCAGGAGTTTATGAAATGCTGAGTCCTTGAACAGAGACAAACTTCAATTATTTCCTTCCACACAAGCAATTCCTACAGCAAAATAAGCTGTGTGAATCTGTTATTTCACATGGGAATTACACTTATGAATATTCCATTACTAGAGTGAGAAAACAGGGGATGTTTACACATACTGAAACATTTTCAACTTTGGACAAATTGTTTAATGTCACTGCACCGCCTCATTGCCTGAAATGAGGATAAAAGTTGTTCATAAAAACAAGAATACATAGAGTTAAAGTGAGCCCCTTGCATATGCTGGTGAAGGAAATCTGAGCCAGAGCAAGAGAGGAGGCACCAGTCAAAGCACCAGTGCTGTGTGTTCTGAGCCCATCCAGCAGAGTGTCTGAGTGTCCGACCAGGATGGGAGTGGGTGGCTGGACCTCGGCGCAATCTCTGATCTCACGTCTCAGGGTCTCACTTTCTCACATCTCCCATTAAATTCTCACTGCAGTTGCTTGAGCTGAACCCTGAGAAGCGTTTTTCTCAGCTGAAAGATATCCAGGACTTTCCGTATCTGTCAGATGTGAACTGGGAAGCTGTTCTCCAGAAAAGGATAATGCCAGAATTCATTCCCACGGTAAGGAATTTGACTTTTGTAAGTGTTACAGGCTGCAGTCTACCCTCGCACTGAGCACCAGGTCATGGAGTTCTTACAGATTTCCACAAGAGCACCAGACATCACAAGGGACAGGGGAAAGAGAGGCAGAGGCACGGGCAGGATTTCCACTTCCCTGGGTGTGTAATAAGGAGCAATGGGGACTGACTACAAAGTGTGGGTGCCCCAGAACTGATCTGCTCTAATATTCCCAGAATTTCTGGGTGCAGAACTGGTCACACCAGGTGAAGCACACACTGACAGTGCTCGTGAGCAGCCCTGCGCTGAGCAGCCTTTTGTAGCTGCTTCGGACCTGCTCTGGAAATGCAAAGACCAAACACCAGACACAGGCTCCTGAGCAGCCTGGAGAGCACCCACCAGTTCAGGACAGTTGTTTCTTCCTGTAATGGCTCTCCTTAACTAGCACATTGTTTGCAGTATAATAACAAGTAGAGTAGAGTTTCTGATCCTTTTTTAATTGGATTAAAAGCACAGAAGTAACATAACCCTTATGGAAAATAATCAGACTGTTGTGTGCAGCGTTACTCTGGTTTTCAGCCAAAAAAAAGTTGGGCTAAAATACACCTATTTGTTAGGTGTATGCGTTTTGCCCCTCTGTAACTGGTTTTCTCTGTGGTGGGTGCACGTGCATTGCTTTAAAGCCAGGTCTGCAGGCTGCTGCGCTCCTCCCCAGCACACACACACCATCCTTCACTTCAAAGCAGCCAAAAGGCAGAGCAGCAGCAGTGAGCACGGAGCAATTAATCGTCACCCCTCAGCAGTGTCCCCTGGCTGAAGGGATGATGGAACGCGGCAGCAGTGCAGCAGGTGCCCCGTGTGTGCAGAACTGTGGGTCAAGCTCAGTTTTGCACAATTCAGCTCCTGGAGGCAGTCCAGAAACTCTTCAAGACAGGCTCTGATCACTTAAGGGCACCTCTCTCCTCTCTCCAGAAAGGCAGACTGAACTGTGACCCAGCCTTCGAACTGGAAGAAATGATCCTGGAATCCAAACCTCTTCACAAGAAAAAAAAACGCTTGGCTAAGAAGGAGAAAGATACCAGCAGAAGCAGTTCCTCCCAGGTAAGAGCAAGCAGGTACAAGCATATGGTCAAGAAGCCTCTCATTTTCCAGTTAAGCTGATTGCCATTCAGCAAGACCACAGCAAACGGTTTAAACAGACCATTTTTATCGCTTGTGACCAACCTTATTCCCAAAACTCTTCCGCATCTTCCCTCTGGGGGAAGGCAGCATGTGTACACATGGGTTCTGTATGAGGAGAGTCTTAATGAGCTTCTCCACACTGCAGTGCTAAAGATGCTCTATACCTAAAGATACCTATATCGCCTTGAAATTCTCCTTGTAATGTCTTTCTGTGTCAGCTGTGAATGTATTCCTCATCTCTATTTTTCTGTTTGATTGTGAAAGGCCTGCCACCTTCAGAAGCACCTGGAGATGCTCCAGAGGGACTTCATTGTTTTCAACAGAGAAAAGTAAGTACTGATGCAGAGGCGGCGCAAGAGACTAAGGTTCTTGTCAAAGCCTTCGAGAGACCCAGGCTTTGGGCTCTTGGTGAATGCCACAGGCAGGGTGGAGACACGTGGTACCGTGGCTGCTGGCCAAAAACTCACGTGGCATTTCTGTGCTCGAGGTCCCAACCTGCACTGAGCGCCCCATCTGTGCAGGCAGATGGTCAGTGCAGGGGCTCGGGGCCATGTGGGCTGCGGGGCTCAGTGCAGCCCCTTGGGGAGGCACAGCTCGTGCCGGGGAACGGGATGCTCCCAGGCGGCCGCACCATGGTGTGGGCCATGGCTCTGCCTGGGCTTTCCCTCAGTGCTCAACCATCCCTTTCTCTCCCAAGGGTGAGACACCACCACAGTGACATCCAGGAGACCCTGACACCGGCAAAGAGCAGAGGCACATACAAGGAGGACAGCCAGAACAACAACCTCTGAGCACACCCGCACACCTTCACCACACCGAGACACCAGACCCGTCTGCTGCTGCCAGGACTCTGCTGAACGCCTGCTGCTGGGTGGGAGCTGGGGCACCCGCTCCCTCTGCTTCCACCCTACAGCCAGTGGATCCTGAGCATGAGGGGAGACGCTGTGGGTGCTGCCCCCGTGACTTGCCACAGTCAGTTACAGTGAGATCCTGTTATTTTGCCTGTCTTGGCGGCAGGAATGTGACTGTGTGAAATGGATAAGACATTCAGTATTCACCCTTTGGGTTGGTTCGCCAGCATCACAGCCCTTGGTGCTGCCAGAAGCATGACCAAAGGGCCACGCATGCATCGCTTGTAGAGGTGTCATCACTCATATCACTCATGGTGACAGCACTGTGGGTCCAGGCTCTGTGGAGGTTGAAACACCCACATCCTCACAGCTGGTTGCTCCCGATGAAGGAGGCTGCTCACTCTCAGTTGCAGGGTCTCCACCAAAGGGCCTTTGCTTACAGACACCTCCCGTGAGCACCCCATGAGTGTGGGCACAGAGGGCTGGAAGTGATGATCAGCTGGGAGGAGGCAGCGAAGGTTTCCCGTCCGTTTCCCCCTCTCTGTGCTGGTTCCTGTGCTTGTTCCTCGCAGAGCAGGGCTGGTGTGCCAGCTGTCAGGGCAAGCAGGCAGGGGTGGAAATGAAGAGGCAACAACCAGGCACTGGCGAATCACCAGCATCCAGATGCTTTTCCAGGTCAGCCTGAAAAACCCAGTCACCATCACATGAAACGAATGCAACTCACTGAATCTGATAGGGTTCAGCTTCCAACACCAGAGGTGAATTTGAATGTGTATTTTTATTCTCTTTGCTATTTAAATCATGCTTGATTTAAGCAGCTACTATTTGCAGCGGCTATGCTCCTGGTGCAGTCTTTGCCAGGACTGAGAATGGCCAAAGCATTTCTACTATGTTAATGCTGGGAAAGATGCTATTATTTAAATGCTTTGGCAGACCTGAGGTTTCACCTCCTGATTTGCAATTTTTCCTATTTTCAGCAATATAATGAATGCATGATGAACCATTTGCCTCCCATTTACCCAGAGGTGTTCTTTGTGTCCCCTGTGCCTTCCTCTCTCTCTGGCTAAATCTGATCAACTCCAAAAAAAATCTGAACAAAACCAACAGCAAATGAAAGGCTCAGAAGTCAGTGTTACTTCTGAGGTCACTTGCATAGCAAGGCAGAAAGGGTGTTCCTCCTGCCTAGAGCCCACTAGGACTTTATTGGACCTTCAGTTTAAATCTGCTTTTCACCAGCTGAAGACTTTCAGACACCCTCTGCCTATGGAGCTGTGGATTCAGCGCATTACACAGACTGTGTGCAGTGGACTTCCCAGCTGCTTCTGATGGACTGAGACATGAATAATCCCTCTCTCGTTGATCAGGTGACAGCTCTCTGATTGCTTTGGTAAATGTGTGGTTTACGCATGTGCACACGCAGGCACCTGGGAGAAGAACATCTCCGTCCCCCCAAGCACTCCTGCATCCAGGGCAGGGCATCACCCACCCATGCAACTGACCACAGCGTCCTGTCTGCCTGCTCTGCCTCTGCTGTGGCACACTGCACGGAGCAGCTCAGCCATAACTCCTGTCAAAACATCAGACCACTTTGTGGTCCCTCCAGTGGTGGTGGTGGGGTGCCCTGGACTTGGGATGCTGGGGATCCCCTGCCCCACTCCCTCTGTGCTGGCAGCTCTGGTGCTTGCCCCTGAGCCTCCACCCTGACGGCTCCAACCCCCCCAGGATATTCTGCACTCCTCTTGCCCACAGCAATCTCTAACAGAGATACGAATAGCACTGAATGTGGTTGTAGGTCTTGGTGTTAACAGGCAGGGTACAGGGAGGATGCTGGCACAGCAATGCAAGCGCCTCCCCAGGGTCAAGGGGTCCTGTTCTGGCTTGTGCCATGCACCCTCTTCCTGACACGGTGCCATGGCAGTACGTACCTTCACCGCTGCACAATGAAGATATTAACTCCCCCAGTTTTAGATGACTACAGAGGTTTCTTTGCTGCCACCACATGAGGGTGCAGGTGAGGGGACACTGGTTCAGGGCTGCAGCACTGGCTGTGCAGCATCTCCCCGTTTCCTCTGCACAGCCAGCAAGTGCCCTGCAGGCACCTGGGCTGAGGCACTGCAGCACCACCACCCTCATCCACACGCTGCGCCTGGCAGCCTGCTTTCATCTGCTCAGGTCAGGCTCTTGGCACAGTTGCAGCACAGTGTGCATGTGCGCAGGGCGGGGAGCAGAGGCAGCAGCATCGCTGTGCGCTGCCAGCATGGAAACAACTGACTGGCAAAGTCTGTCCCTCTTCTGTCCAGGGAGCTGCAAACCTGGGGTGGAATTAGTTCACCAGTAAGTGATTATTGGAGTCCTCAAAGGGGGTCATTGCAATGGGAAAGCAAAGTCACAGCACACCCCAATTGCTGTGTCTTCTCCCCCTCCCGAGCCATCCCTCTTTCGAAAGGGGCCTCCAGCCTGGCCATTCCCAGGGCAGCCTCCCCATGATCCACTGTTCTTTGCCCAGTCTCACTCTGGGTCTGAGGCCAGGTATGGTCAAGAGGGCCTGTGCCAACAGCCATACCTGTCCCCTGCTCAGCACACAGCTATCACTGCCTTGCTCTGGAGCAGGAAGTGGTTCACGCACTGTAAATGTGTTATCTGGAGCCCCAGACAAGGAAACTAGCCCTGCTCCTCACAGGGGAAAAATCTACTGCAGCATAAATACTGTTGCACCGGCTGACCAAAAAAACCACCAAAACTCGTGTACTTAAATGGCAAAAATCGCATTTTTAAAAGTTCCCCAAAGACTTCTACAACCATCTCCCTTTTCCCCTCTTCCTCTGTAAACAGAGCCACAGTCGCAGTTTAATCCCTACCAGGCAACAGGGAGAAATCTTAAATTGCTCTAAAGGAGAACTTCACAGAACTTGCAAACATGAACAGCTTCCCCACCCCTGGACAACTGTTGTGGCAGGGCCCCTTCAGGACTGCTGCATGGACAACTTGTCCTGTCTGAGCTCGGGCATGTAAAAATAAATATTTCAAGGTCAACTACTTTAGGAAGAAAAAAAAAAGAAAAAAAGGTATTTATTTAGCACAGCCTGAATCAACTCTTAATTTTTTGTAATACTTAAAAAACAATCAAGCTTTTTTTGCATGCTTTGCAAGCTTCAGAAGGCTGTGACCCTCGGTTTGATAAACACCACTTGATAGAGCGCCCACAAAAAAGCAGCCTCTGAGCTGGCCCCAGCTCCACGCCCCGGCAGGGCCGTGTGGGGCCGTCACCACGCAGTCACCACCGGACAAAGTGAACAGCCTGTTACGAGCACTCGACCGCGCTGTTTTGCGGACACTCGGCTTTTGCCCATGAAGCTACACCAACACCCCGACAGCGAGCAGCGCGCAGATTCCTCCTGACAGCCTGTCCCAGCCCAGACACTGCCCAAAGCCCCTCCTGAGCCCCACTGCCCAGCTCCACCACGGCACAGCTTCGTGCCACCGCTGCCCAGCTGCAGCACCCTGAAGGAGAAAAAAGCGACCCAGCACCACGAGCTGTTTGAAGGAACAACTTTTTTTTCTTAATAAAGTGTACAAAGTAGTAAACGCCTTACGCGAGGCGCTGTGACAGCCCATAGAGATGACCCGGGCTCCCCCGTGGGCCTCGTGGTGAAACGCCAACAAGCGCTGGGTGGAAACGAAGGACACGAACACAACACAGACCCACCAGCTCCCGTGAACCTGCCCACCCCGTCCCACACCGCGCCTACGGCCGGCCCCTGCCTGGCCAGTTCACCCGCGCCGCGTTGTTCCCACTGTCCATACCACAGCACCCCACACGCGTTCAACACTAACACCACACTGACCCGAGCGACCTGTCTGAGCGGCATGCATACAGAAAGGAGGAGTGAAAACACAACCCGACCGAACCCACAACAACAACAACAGAATTTTAAGGCTATGCATAAAACAAAATGAAGCAATATCTTTAAAGCTAGGTAGGAAGTAGCATTGTGAAACATAAGGCTTGAGGCTTATTGATTCTTCAGAACAGGTTTGTTTGCCTTTCCTTCTTAAACACCAATGTACCACTTTTCTTCCTTCGCTTGAACAGGGATTTTCCTTCTCAGCAGGGAGATTTAACTCAGGGAGGTGATGTTGGAGCGGCCTCCCGGGGGCGCCACGATGCGCTTGCTTGCTGAGCGAACACCTTCGTCAATCTGGGTACCTGGGAGAGGACAAGAAAGCATGAAGGGAAGGGAGAAAGCGAAGTTAAGAGTGTTTTCTTCCCTGGACTGAGCAGTCAGGCAGCCTGGGGTCTCACAGAGGCGCTTCCTGAGACTGTCTACAGCAACCTGCTCCCTCTCCAACTCCAGTAACAACCCCAAGAGCACCAGTGGCTTGAATGTCTCTGTAGACACCTCCCTGTGTACAGACCCACGCTACAAGAGCAGGGTCTGATGCTGTGCTGGCACCTCCATGGCCACAGCCTGCCTTGCTTCTAGTGCAAGGTGCAGCAGCGTGGAGGGTCAGCTCCAGCCATGTCCTTAAGAGGCACACACGGTCTGGTGCTGCCATGCTCCACTCCTCTGCTCAGCTTGCCCCAGGCCATCTCCCGGCCACCTCCAGCCCCAGACAAGCAGCTCTGCACTCTTCCCAGCCCACCGCCACGTGTGTTCACCTGACAGGCTGAATCCAGACTGATGGAGGTTCCTGACAGGGGGGGTCTGCCGTGTGGGGGACCCCCTGGTTGACCCCGCAGGGGTGCCCCCCTTGGGGGTGGTGGTCAGGTCAAACACGGGTCCATCATACATGCCCCGGGGCACGGCATGCATCTCCGCCATCTGTCACCAGAGAGAAGAGGACAGTGACACTTCTCTGCCCCCGGGGAACATCCTGCCACGACAGTGCCATGCTCCAGTGATCCTCGGCTCGCCAGTTCACACTGCCAGCCCTGCACACCTGAGACCTCCCCGCAGCGCTGCGGCCTGGCGCAGCCCCGACACCCACCTCCTGTGTGACAGCCTCCCTTCACTCCCACCTTGCAAGGTGTGCAGAGCCTGGTGCAACAGGCGATCCCTCAGCATGGGTTTATGCTGCATGCACGGGGAAGGAGCAGGCCATTTTCCCAGTCTGTTTTTAACTCAGCACTTCCCTCCAGACTCCTGCGGCCACAGGACAGCAACAAGGACAGGCACTGCCCACTCTCAACCCAGATGAGCATGTGCCTCCAGTGGGAGCCCACCACCAACACTAAGGTCAAAGCTGTCTACCCAAGCATTAGCTATCCCAAGTGTAGGTTTAGGATATACCAGTTTGCAGCACTGTTTACAGGGTCCAGTGAGAACAGCAGAGGAAAACCAATCAGTTATCAGGAAAAATGTCAGTTTGGGCTAACAGTGTCCCATCTCTGTCTCCTGGCATCTCTGTCTCCTCACCTTCCTCCTGGCTTTAATGCGCTTGTAGACATAGTCAGGGAAAGGGCTGCAGGGCAGGAAGCGTCCAGTCCCCTGGGTCACATGCAGGTTGCCATCCTCCAGCATGATCTTCCCCTGGCATATGACAACCAGCGGGGCCCCACGTAGCTCCATCCCTTCAAAGATGTTGTATTCAGCTGCCTGCAGCAACCAGGGGATGATGGTCAGGAGGGACACAAGCACTGCCTGCCCACTCCGGGCAGTTCAGTGCCCACACCTTGCTGCTGGAGTCACCAGTGCAGGGAGAGGACAGCTGTAACAGCCTTGCCTGCCACAGAGGCCTGCTTTAGTTCGTTAGTTCACCACACTAAGAACACACCACAGCTCCCAGCATGAACCAGGACCTCCTGCTTCGGAGCTCGGTGTGAGCAATGACTCCATCAACTGAGGAGGGCAGGACGTAGGCTCGAGGTAAGGCATGAACAAAGCACACTGGCAAAGCCAGGAAAAATTTATACCTGGAAGAGGAACCCAGAGGAAAGGTGTGTCCTTACACCTGCATGGGCCAGGCTCAGGAGAAGAGCAATAGGGCAGGATGAGAAAAGCCCTGTGTGCAGAGCCCAGGGCTCACAGACATCCTACCCCATAGTCACAGCCTGGACTCGGTCCCTCCTCCTCAGGCCCAGCACCGCAGGGCAGCACCAAGCTCCCAGCAGCCAGGCAGCCTTTATACAGTGCTGCTCACACCCCACGCTCCAGCATCCCCACAGACAAGCAGAGCACTCACAGATTGATGGGTTTTTGCTGTGACGATCTTCACTGCGTCAGGATCCCATATAACCAGGTCGCTGTCTGAGCCCACTGCTATTCTCCCTTTCCGCGGGTACAGGTTGAAGATTTTTGCAGCGTTAGTGCTCGTCACAGCCACAAACTGGTTTTCATCCATCTTCCCTGTGGCCTGCTCAGACACAAAGAGAACTAAGTGCTCTTTTGGGGAAAGGGAAAGTAAGAGCCCTGGGAAGCACCAGACTCACTCACAAAGAAGCCACTGGCTGGCTGGGCCCAGACCACCGTGGCGGATCTTACTATTGGTGCCAGACACACCGAAACTGGGCCATAGTCACACCTCCTGAACCCATGACAGCCGCCCCTCCTGCTCTGGCTTGCTGGGACTCTCAAAGCCAGACTTGAGACAGGCAGCTGGGTGCCCAGCTCTGTGGGGCACAAGCACAGGTGCCAAGGTGCCCATCAGCCCTGCCCGCTCTCCAGCATGACTCTTACCACTGCCTTGTCCCAGATGACAGACATTCGTTCCTCTATGCCATTGGTCCCTTCTGGGATCGCGGTGAAGTTGTCTTTTCCAATTGCTTTCTGTGCAGTGCTGAACGTACAGTGGGCACTTCCTGAAACCTGCAGGTCACCACTGAGGGGTGGTGGTAACAAAAGCATCATCAGTTGTTTTGTCATCGGTCAACAGCAGGGACACAAGGGACATGAATCTCCTCCGGGCATGGGCAGTGCACGGTTCAGTTCTATTTTACACTGCACCCTCATTTCTACAGCTCCTCAGTCTGAAGACTTCCACCCAACTCAGCCCATGGTGGCCGTGTCACCTGGGGCCATGGGGACAAGACAGCTCTGCCACCACACTATCTGGGACACAGAGAGCATCCAGCACACAAGAGGAGTCAACAGCTCAGCTCCCAGGGAACAGGGTGGTGCCAAGGCAAAAGATGTCCTTCCATACCAGACTCTACCATTTTCACTAACACAAACAGAAAAAAATATCCCAGTGTGAGTCAGAAAAACCTTTTCTGGCAGTTTGTCAGGTCTGCCTGGGAGAGAGCCTTTGCCCCCTGAGGAGGAAAAGGCCTCTCCACCCAAGGAGTTTCCCCAAAGCCAGCCCTTTCCTTGTGTACTGCCAGGCAAGCACAGCCCTCCCCTGCCCCACGGGAACCTGCAGCAGGCCGGCATCACCCCTGTCTGTGAGAGGGGACACGGCTGCAGAACAGGGCTTATAGCTGCCTGTCACTCACATTGGCAACCTTCTCCAGCGAGGAGAGCACCTCAGCCTGGCTCCAGGGCTCTGGCCTGAGACATTTCAGTGGCAGGAGCTCATCAAAGCCTACTCTCAGGCCCTCACATGGGCACTCACAGCACAAGCTGCAGCAGCCAGCAGCGCACACTGAGAAGGTCTGCCTGCAAGTGCTACAACAGCAAACAACCCCGCGGCCACATGAAAATCTGAGAGCGGGATGAGGAGTCAGGACTCCCGAGAAGCAGCTCTCTGCAGGAGGCCCAGAGAACCTTCACTGCAGCACTCTGCAGTGGCTGCTGCCCAACACTGTTATCCAACCCCTCTGCCCAGATGGGGTCACCAGTTGGATGAGATGACCTGACCCATCCCGCTCCTGACCACGATGGCAGAGGGCAGGAATGGACAGAGCCAGCAAGCTGCCTGGCAAGGCAGGGCAAGGAACTGCCCATGGCTCCCTGGAAGTCACCCTGGGCAGCCCCGGACAGGCAGCACTGCTGGGCGAGAGGAAGCAGAGCCCCGCCGCCAGCTCCCGGCGCTGCCACGTGAGGAGTGTCCTCCAACACCCGGCTCCCAGAGCGGGTGCCTGCGGCACGGACACGGCGGCTCAGCGCAGGGCTGTGAGTCAGCCCTAATCCACTGGTAATCTCCATCTTCCTCTGGTAATTTCTGCCATATGTCTGACTGAGTGCGCAGCCAGAGGCCCAGGCTGCTGACACGACACGCTTCCTAAGCTCCACCAGATTTGTCCTGGTGGAAGAAAACAAAGCATCCAGTCCAGCTGGAGCCTTGCAGCCTCTGGCCCTGCTGAAGCCTCACAGAAAATGGCACGGGAAAGGTGTCAGGACAGACACCCGTGGGCTGCAGGGACTCAGGCTGCTCTGGCCTCTCCTTTGAGGTCTGGGGTAAATTTCAGGTAGAAGGGAAGGATTAAAAAGCCAGTTCAGGAGCTGGGCTCACTTTTCCCAGCCAGTTCCTAAGACCTGCCCCTACTTCATACATCCAGACTGAGCAGAGGCATCTCTTGCTCCTTGACCATAGCAAGATCCAGGGTGATCTGAATATTCAGACCCCAAATGCACTGGCACCTCTCTTACGTCAGCCATGGCATCTCCACCCTGGCACAACCCAGATTTATCCTAACGTGCCCCTCTGGCGCGACACGTCTGACTGACCTTGCTCACCTAGTCAGAGATGTTTTCAGCATTACCTCAAAGGTCATTTCCAAACCCCTCAGTGTCAGTCATCCCCTGGCTAACAAAGACCAGCCACCATGAGTACAGTTTGATGTACAAACACAGAAAGGGGTGAGTGATTCACACGCAGTGCATGGACGGGGCCAGCAGTGAGCTCTGTGTCCCTGGCTGCTGTGCATGCCTTGCCAGTGAGAGGATGGAGTGTAACTGTGAAAGGTCAAAGCGAATTGCTGAAGTGCTTTTATTGTTTGCTATTTTCAACAAATCCCTTCCCCACCCCTTCGCCTTCGGAGTGAAAAATTACCTCCCATCCCTGTCAGATGTGCACGAGCTGCTCTTGATGTTCTCCTGCAGGCTGTGCGCTACTGCTCACCTCTACAGGTGTGAGAAAATGTCTGCTTTGTGTCCACCAGCTTGTGACACCCCTCCACCTTCTCCTGCACCATTGCAACCCAGGCAGCCGATCCCCACTGGGCATGATATAAGGAAGAGGTTCTTCACAGTGAGGGTGGTGAGGCACTGGAATAGGTTGCCCAAGGAAGTTGTGAATGCTCCAACCCTGGAGGCGTTTAAGGCCGGGCTGGACAGAGCCTTGGGCGACATAGTTTAGTGTGTGGTGTCCCTGCTCATGGCAGGGGGGTTGGAACTAGATGATCTTAAGGTCCTTTCCAACCCTAACTATTCTATGATTCTATGTGCAGAAGGGCTTCTCCAGCTTGGTGAATGCCTTTGTTGACAAGTCAGTGTTAGCTCGTCCTCGTTTCTTTCCCTTATTCAAGGCATTTAAAATCATTCATGACTACTTGCCCTGGTATTTTTCTCATTACTGATGTTAAACTTAATGGTGTCTCCTCTGTCTTCCTTCTGCTCCCAGGGATAAGCCACCATGACTCTGAGTCAAAGCCATTCCATCAGTCAGCTCATTAAATACCTAAAGTGAAGCAGTCTTTGTTGATCTAAGGTCTATGCTGCCCAGGTATTCCCTAACTGCTTGCTTCCCTACCCAAGGCCAGAGTTCACTTCTTTACACTAGCAGCATCACTCAGCAAAGCTTCACTCACCTGGCCAGAAGGGAGTTGATGTAGTCAGGAGTTGTTGGGTCTGGGCTCAGAGGGGGAGAGACCACAAATGCTGCAGCCTTGGCCCAGTTCTTGCTCCAGTAGTGCGTCCCATCGGTCCCGAGGCTGGCCGTGATCGGCTCACCAAACACCACATTGCCTGGAAAGGGGGACAGAAAGGACAATTCTGGTGGAGCCTGGAAGCACACAGGCAGGCAGACAACAATGCAGCCCAACACTGAACTCATGCCAGGCCAACAACCAAGGCTCTCACAATGTCCTTCATCATAATCTCCTGTGCATTTTTGATCCCTTAGCCCTCATACATATTGACCATGTGCCACCAAAGAGCTGGCAAGCATGTCCTCCTCTCCTGTTCCTCACTCACCTTCCAGTGCCCACTCCAGGGAGAGGGGAGAGGGCAGAGGGTGGTGACCATGAGCTTTTTGTGGAGCAGGGCTTGTCACACTGATAAAACTAGTGTGGGGTCTGAGAAACTGTGCTTTTCTTTACAAACACACTCTACAGCCTGAGCAAGTGCTTCTGGGAGACAGAATGACAAACGGAGCCAACAGCCACCTGAAGAGGCACCCAGACATCTCTGAAGGGCCAGCATTTCAAAGGGAGGCCAGAGTTAAATCCAGCAGCTCAAACCACTTGTGCGTGGACTGGACAAGTCCCCGTGAAGAGCCCTTCACAGCCGCAGACAAACTTTGATGTTCAAAGTATTGCTCCTACCTATGACCCACATGTTGATGTTACCCGATATGACAACAGGAGGTGGCTCCATGTGGCCTGGTGCAGTGTCCCCATGCCCTTCACAAGTCAGGTAAATCTCTGAACTAACTGCTCCCCAGCAGCAGGGGAAGCGCTGGACTGCACTCAAGGCAAAAGAACCGTGAGGACATGGGGAAGCTTAACCCAGGTGTCCAGGTCCCAGTGGCAATATTAAGGCTGTGTGCAACACCAGCTGCCACTCACCTTTTTTTCTGGCTTGCGAGATGAGGTCAGCAGCACTTTTGCTCATCACTTTAGTCACATAGAGAGGACAGTTGGTCTGGCTGGCAATAGTGATGGCCCGGAACACAGCTTCTGCTTCCAGCTGGAAGAGAGAATGGCACATGGCTGTGGAGGAGCACCAGGTAGGCAGGGAGGAGCCCCTGCTCCTCTCAGCACACCATGGATTGCTGCCAGCACCCTGCGCCCTTGCTCTTACCCTTGACTCCCCAGAGGCAGGTTAATCAGGGAGACCTGAGGGGGGAAGCTGCAGTCTCCCTACGACTGGCCCAACCCACAGGCTACAGCCACATGATGCTCGGCCAGGGAGCGCGGCCTGGACCGTGCGCAGGGGCCAGCGCTGAGCTGCATCTGCTGGTTTTTCCACTGCCTGGTTCCAGCTCTCCCAGCAGCCAGAGGGAATGCTGCCCACGCCTGACAGCGCGGCTCACAGCCTGACACCAGGCAGAGAAAGGGGCTGCCCTTGCAACCACTCACTGCTCCAGGCTTTCCTGCGGCTGCAGGTTAACCTAACGTCACCATGCCTGTGGCTGGGGTACGACAGGCTCTGCTCTGCCAGGCTGATCACACCAGGGTCTGGCTGTCCTGCGATGTGCTGCTGCTCAGCCCAGCCCATTGACACCCACCCCTGCTTCCCTGCCCTGCTGTTGGCAGAGGACGGGTTTCCATCACGAGGGATATCTTTGGACTGTTACATCAGCCCATGCTCAGTCTGAGCTCAACCCCAGAGGTTCTCCAAGTGTTTGCTCTACAGTTTGGCTTCAAGCTTTGGCATGAGAAAGTTCAAAACAGAAGCCTTAAAAAGCCAGTGTATCAACCAGCCAGCTCCCGGGGGAGGCCAGGGCAGCCAGCTCCAGGGAATGCAGTGACGGCCTGCGGGCAGGCAGCTGGCCATGCAAGCTTAACTCTCCCAGTGCAGGAGCAGCAGAACACTGCACGCAGACACACGCACCCAGACACCTCCCGTACTTCTGTAGGCCTATTTGCTGCACAGGGAAGAAGAGGTTTTTCTCTTCTGCTTAAAGACTCTTTGAACAGAAATGCATACAAGAAAACATTTTTATCAGCGCACAGCTACGACTTAAGTATTTGGCAGAGTTTAACGTGTGGACAGGAGCAAACAGCCATCACTGAATACCCTTCACAGCAGGTTATTTACCTGTAGCAGCACCATCCTGCCCTATCAAATCACTACCATCACCTGATAGAAGAGTTCATCTTTAATAACCACTGAGGTCTCTGGGGGACAGAGCAAACCCACGGACCTATGGACCACTTTCCCAGTGCTTTTCCATCAACCTGCAGGCTTTATGGGGAGTGGCAGGGATATCTGTGCTGGAGCTAACATTTTCTCAGGTAGGGTATGTTCTGGAAGAAGGATACTGTTTATTTCAAAAGGCAGTGAGACCTGGATTTGGCTGAACAGATTATAGCTACAGCTTTCTTGTACTGTTCTCAGTTGCCTTATGCATTAATGGCATTCCAAGATCAAACACTCAACAATGTTTTACCGGCTTTGGATGAGAACCGCAGTGCTGTCTTAGGATAATAGGACAGTTCTCAAATCCTGGCACAACCACAGCACCCCATAATTGTGGGTTAGCTTGCCAGATAGTGGCAACAGGCCTAGAGCCATAAAAATAAATGGCAGTTTACACACACAGGGACTCTGGTCGGCTGTATTTGACATTAAGTCTCTTCCCTGTACAGGAAAATGCTTTACGCTTTCATACTTCGAAGAGAATAAGCACTGTATTACACTAGGCTATGTATGTTGTTACCAGCCATAAAACAGTCAACTTCTTGCACTTTTAATTTAAGCTAACTGATTTTATTTCCAGTAGACACTCAAGTACAAATCTGTCCCTGTGCTCCCCTGCTCAGCTTTGCTGTTGTACCAAATTCCTATTTTCTTCTTTCGTGTGCTGTGGAAAGTCAAAGCACCTCTCAGCAGGGAGCTAGCTCAAGAAAACCTACCTGAAATTAGACTCAACTCAGATTAATAGACCAAACAGAAAAATACCCTGAGAGCTAAAATTAGAAGTAATCTAATTAGTGTCTTGACAAAGATTTGTAACCAGGGAATTTCCCCTCTCCTTCCCTCCCACTGCTTCCACCAATGGCTTTGTCTGTCTGATTTTGAAACACACTTTAGACCCTAAGCAGAGATTAAACAGGAAGAGACTGGAATCTGTCAGCACTCTGACAGACATCAACAGTGAATTTACAGAGGAACTAAAACTCACCATTTGGTTCTTCTCAGGCCTCTCATACCCATGGAGTTACCTACACAAGACAGATGCCCCCAAAACCAGCCACAAATGCTGCTACAGCCATATAGACTGTTTCGTTGACTGATTAATTGTGGGAGACTCAGAAGCCCTTGTGTCTGCTGGGAGACTCACACAAGACTGAAAACCGTGTGTTGTGCCTGTACTTTCACGGGAAGCTCTTCAGTGGTACCGCCCTTTGCATCTTACCTCCTCAGGTCTGCTCAGCACATGGCCCTCGGGGCCGGTTATTCCCATCTCCAACATCCTGGTTTGTTCCTAGGACATGGAAAGGACAGAGGGATGTTGTAAGACTATGAAGCTATCAGCCACACATTAAAACAGATTCCTCCTGTGTTGAGCCCTTCCCTTAGGACACCCATGTCCAGAATACCCACGTGAAGACCAAACCACATCCTTTTCAACAATTCCCTTGGCAAATCCCGTTCCATCAGCTGGCTGCCTGCTTACAGCAGGGAGAAAATTCCTCTCTTGCCATGGCACTTTTCAATACACTTTAGCTCTCTTAGCTGATTATGTGCAAGGCAAAGCTCTCTGCCTATGCACAATGAAAAAGATCTGTGGTTGGAGTGAGCATACTGCACTTGATGGCACTCTCTTCTATTTAGATAATCACTAATTCATTATTTCAGATTCATTTATGCACAAATACAGCAGAAAATCTTGGTCCATTTGATACTGCTGCTGAGCAGCAAAGAGATCACCTTGCAAAAGACAACTGTGCAGCTTTAGAGTCATTTTGCTAATGCCCCACACCAAATCTGCCTGGGATAGATTTTCAGCCTCTGCATACCAGAAGAGGAGGTTGTTACCTGTGCAATTATATCCCCGTTTTCAGCGTGGACTTGAGCTATGGCACCCAACTCTGCCAGGCAGCTGAATATCTCATACAGCTAAAAAAGAGACAAGGAAAAATGACTAAGGAGCAGAATGACTGCCCTGGGCTGTGCACGGCCCCTGTGCCCAGACGGCTGCCATCCCCCCACTGCCCCTCACACAAGGTGACAAGTAAGGCCTCACCTCGGTGTTCGACATCTGGTACAAATCCTTGTAGGCCATGTACACCATGAAGGAGTTAACTCCTAGGGGCAGAGCAGAGAGGAGAGGGGGCTGAGCGAGGCTCTTGCTCCTGAGGGTCCCGCTCAGGCACCCGGAGCGGCGGGAGCCAAACCT